ATTTCCACATAGTCTATATTTTAACATTTAACAATGTGACAGTCTCAAAATGGCACACTGTCACAGTTGAAAATCACTTTAGAAATTCTGAACTACTAAATTAAATGTGGGGTAGGCCACATACAATTATCTTCGGAATTGTAGGGCAGTGCTGGCTCTCAAGGACTTAGATGACAGTGTCATGATCATATGACCCATAAAACTGTTCTTTTCTCATATTACTTTTCTTAAAGTCTAAACTTCTCATGAAATGTATTTTCAAACCAAAAGTCTTACCTCTGAGGCTAGACTGATTTAAAAGAATTATATTCTAATTCTTTAGTATTTAGCCATCTTCATGATTCAATTTCTTTATTTTCATATGTCTGTATATCCCCTGAAAGTGAGATTAGCCAGAATACTTCATTCTTCATGGGTTTGTGAAAGGGAATTTCTCCAGGGTCATTGAAAAGGGGAGAAAATAAGTTCTTCTAGGAAGCAGGACTAAGTGATACTAGGAAACTCAATAAAGTAAAGATCAAAATAGAGAATGATAGAGAAAAATTAAGGTAGGAATAAAAATGATGAAAGTAAAAGATTGAATTTGAAAATAGTAAAGTTAAAATGAGCGAATGCTAGTATGTTTTAAAATATATATGCAGATGTGAATTAGAAATACAGAGTACAAATAAAGATATGGAAAAGATTATGAGAACAAAACACTGCTGAGTTATCAGTTGTATAATTACTGTGAACCACATTGAAAACGTCCCACCCAACCCCTGTGCATTACAACATTTGCAGTGGATCTGTCCATCCCTTGAAGCTACTGATACCAACGTCGTGCACAAATTTGAGAAGCCAGGATATTTGATCTTTGGCAAACTGATGACTAGTTGATCCTTTCTTGCATATAATTCCTATATTTCTAAGCCAACATTCTAAAATAAGGCCTTCCATCTACTTATATTCCCCATGCACCATTCTAAATCTGACAGGCACTTATTTTCTATAATACACTCTTTCACTACTCCTTTTCAATCCCATCTACTGTGTACCCTGGAACTTGCATTCCGTGATTAACAAACTTTCCAAAATCTTTCACCCTTTTAGTAAAATTTCCTTTTATTACATGTTTTAATTTAAATTTTTGTACACCACTTGACATAGGCATTATTAATGCTCATCAACATTTCTTTTTTTTAATTGAAGTTTAGTTGATTTACAGCATTGTGTTAGTTTCAGTTATACAGCAGAGTGATTCAGTGATTTTCAATTCTTTTCCCTTATAGGTTGTTACAAAACATTGAATAGAGTTCCCTGTGCTATACAGTAGGTCCTAGTTTGTTATCTATTTTATATATAGTAGTGTGTGGATGCTAATCCCGGACTCCTAATTTATCCCTCCCTCCCACAACCTTTGCCCTTTGGTAACTATAAGTTTGTTTTCTATGTCTGTGGGCCTATTTCTGTTTTATATGTAAGTTCATTTGTATCACATTTTTAGATTCCACATATAAACGATATCATATATTTGTCTTTCTCTGTCTGACTTACTTCACTTAGTATGATAATCTCTAGGTCCATCCACGTTACTGTATATGGCATTATTTCATTCTTTTTTATGGCTGAGTAATATCCCACTGTACATATATACCACATCTTCTTTATCCCTTTCTCTGTCAATGGACATTTAGGTTGCTTCCATGTCTTGACTCTTGTAAATAGTGCTGCAACGAACATTGGGGTGCATGTATCCTTTCCAACCATGTTTTTCTCTAGATACATGCCCAGGAGTGGGATTGCTGGATCATATGGTAACTCTATTTTTAGTTTTTTAAGGAACCTCCATACTGTTCTCCATAGTGTCTGTACCAATTTACATTCCCACCAACAGTGTAGGAGGGTTCCATTTTTTCCACACCCTCTCCAGCATTTATTGTTTGTAGATCTTTTGGTCATCGCCATTCTGACTGGTGTGAGGTGACATCTTGTAGTTTTGATTTGCATTTCTCTAGTAATTAGCAATGTTGAGCATCTTTCCATCTGCCTTTTGGCTATCTGTATGTCTTCTTTGGAGAAATGTCTGTTTAGATCTTCTGCCCATTTTTTGACTGGGTGGTTTGGGTTTTTTTATATTGAGCTGTTGAGCCGTTTGTACATTTTGGAGATTAATCCCTTGTCAGTCACATCGTTTGCAAATATCTTCTCCCATTCTATAGGTTGTATTTTTGTTTGTTTATGCTTTCCTTTGCTGTGCAAAAACTTTTGTTTAATTATGTCCCATTTGTTATTTTTGTTTTTATTTCCATTACTTTAGGAAATGGATCCAGAAAGATATTTATGCTATTTATGTCAAAGAGTGTTCTGCTTATGTTTTCCTATAGGTGTTTTATGGCATCTGGTTTTATATTTAGGTCTTTAATCCATTTTGAGTTTATTTTTGTGTATGGTATTAGAGAAAGTGCTAATTTCTTTCTCTTTTTTTTTTGCTTTGCAAAAAATTACTCTTTAATTAGTGCAAAATTCAAATTCAAGCCTTACCTAATGCTTATTGCCCTTCCTTGCAGGTCTAAATGCTAGACCTAGTGACTGTGGCCAACTATCTCTCATTGGTGTTCCAAAAGGTGAAGAGCTCCTTCCTGCTAGACTTTCTTTGATATTTCAGTTGTAATAAGCAGATTTAACTAGCTTTTGGAAAGTTGCTCACTATCACCATAGTATGTCATGCCTTCACTTCTCTGTAGTTGAAGCTCTTGCTGCTGACTTGTCCATACTCAAAAAGCTGCTGAAGTCCTGTCTTAGTGAGTCTCCTTTGACCCACACTGTGCTTAAAAAGCACATCTTAGGTCCTTTAAAGCTGGTTAAATCACTCTCCTCATGGCTTAACTTTTCCACACTGTTCACAAGAACTAAGCTAATACAACTTATAAACAGGTCACATACACAGATTTCACCTGCTTATAGGTTGCAAACATCAACTTACTGACAATATTTTCACTATTAAGCTAGTTCCAGAACACAGAAAGTTTGTTAACAGTACAAATTAACCTCATATGCCATTAAAGGATACTGTCAAGGTTGTGTCAAACAATTTCACAAATATAGAAACAGGAAATGTTAATCTCCCCCATTCCTTCAACCTTTATTATATGAATAAAAGAACTTGAGACAATTTAGCTTAATTTTAATAAAATGTTTCCCAAGCATTATTTTGACCAGGTACCCAGGTTTAAGTTATGAACATTGACAGTGTCCCTTTATATAACCAACACTTTAAGTTGTTAAAGACTTAACCATTTTCTAATAACTAGCCTATTTTCTACACTGCTTATTCACATATGTCCATTAACAAATGGAATGTTGTCTGTTACATTTATTGGTTTGTGAGTGTTTTCTGGAAAACTGCAGTGTCTGTGAAGACCGATTTCCATGCTGGCATTGCATGCATCCAAATATTAATGCACAGAGGCACAGAATTAGAGCAACCAGAGCATATTCAAACACTAGCACGCCCCATCCCCCCTTTTATTGCTTGTTTTGCTTAGTACTTCTTAAAACAAAAATAAGAATCTCAAATTTAACGTTCAACTACCGAAGAAATAATAACAGCAGGGCACATACTTGGGGCTCGAATTAAATTTTAAGCACTAGCTGGCACAAAACAGTAGACATTGGTTTATATATATATACATGACCTTGTTATCTAAGACTCTTCTCAACCAGGGTCTTCCAAACAAATTGTAAACTCATACCAACATGATTTAGGTTCAAGCATACACACGGAAATAACAGTGTGTTCTTTGGGATTTTTACAAACTCTGACTATCCAAATTTGGATTCAGGTCTTGAGGAAGTGAAAAGCTTGTTTGTACTAAGCAACTGTGCTACACTTCTACTGCAGTAATCACTTGGGATGATTATATCTAGACTATCCTTGGTTTCATCCAGTAAAATGCAGAGGGTACAAACAGGAAAGCATGCCAGCCAGTTAACGGTTCAACAATGCATGATTTTTATTCTCTTGCTCTGAGAGCTTGTATCAACAAAATATATATTAAACCAAGGAAAATAACTGAAGATTTATGGGCCTCTTGTGCTTTAAAAGGGAAAAAAAAAAGGTAGCCACTAATTCGCTCAGATAGAGCAGGCTTACTGGTCCTGTATTTTGAAGATTTTATGAATGTTTCTTAAGGTAGGAGGAAATGGAAAACATTCACTATCCCTTTCCAGAATTTAAACAGAGGGCAGGAGACATTCTTTACACCCAAATAAAACTATGGCAGCAGTTCACATGTGACCAAGGTGAATGTAGAATGGAGATGTTCTAAACACAGCTAGGACTCTCAGCAAAGCTAATACACTAAAATCATATGATTACATTTTGAAAGAAAATGCACAAAAACCAAATAGGAATTTTGAGATTTTTCATTTGAAGTAAATCTTAATGCTATTAAATTCGCAAATATGCTAATTTAAATACCAAATTCTATTATCTAAAACACACATTGCAAACATACAAATATCTATTCTCTCCACATGTCAGAGCCCATTCATTTCATGGTTTGGAAATGGGGAGAATAGATCTCCTTAAACTGCAAGTCAGCAGGTGTTTCTTTACAGTTAACTTTAGCAAAATTCATACAAAATAGTAATTAACAATGATCTTCTTTACTTGTTAACTCACAAGGAAACACCTTCAAAACTGCATTTTGTTAAAGTTTCTGTACTAAAATGTAGAAAAACTGAACTACACAAATATTGAAAAGTTAAAAATTCCTTAATTTTTTATTCCTGGTACCACTACCACAATTTACAGGGCAATATACCTGATGTAATGAAAAGAAAAAGAAAAAGAAAAAGCTATAACAGATAAAAGACCTCAGGAATGTACATCTAATTGACACTACATTGCATTAATCAATAGTTGCACTTTTTGCAAACTGTGGCTATGACAGTCCTGAAGAAGAAGGGTTTCCTATTTAAGCTGCAGTATCTTTTCTGACTATGGATCATCGTTCCTTCTGTGGCAGACTTTTACAGTTCCTCTAATGCATTTGGGACGACTGTCTCAAAGTAACCTGCAGCTTTCCTGACAACTCCTCACTCTCTCTCCTGCTAAGAACTGTAGCCCTTTTCTTCTGAGTTTTTAGAACCTTCTGCTACCACATCCACCACTTCCACCACCAGATCCATAACCACCACCATAGGGACTTGCCGAGCTTCTTCCACCAAAACTGCCTCCCTTCATGGGTCCGTAATTTGATTGCTGTTGTCCACTATAATTTCCAAAATCATTATAGCTCTTACCACCACCACAGTTACCTCCAAAATTTCCTCCTTCATTGTAACCATCATATCCTCCACCACCGCCACCATATCCACCACCTTGGTTTCCATATCCTGGTCCACCACCACCATAGCCTCCTCTACTACTATAACCAGGACCACCACCATAGTTACCACCATCACCTCCAAATCCATTATATCCACCATCACCTCCTCCATAACTACCTCTGCTGCCACCACCTCCACGACCATAGCCTCCTCTTCCACCAAAGTTTCCACCATGGCCAAAGTTACCTCCACCACCTCCAAAGTTTCCTCCACGACCCATAAAGTTGCCAGATACACCTCCACGACCTCTTTGTGATGCAGCAGATTGCATTTCTTGTTTAGAAAGGGCCTTTTTCACTTCACAATTATGCCCATTTATAGTGTGGTATTTCTGAATAACAATTTTATCAACTGTATCATGATCATCAAAAGTTACAAAAGCAAATCCTCTCTTTTTTCCACTCTGCCTGTCTTCCATAACTATGGTTTCAATCTTGCCATACTTTTCAAAGTAGTCTCTCAAATTATATTCTTCTGTATCTTCTTTAATACCACCAACAAAAATTTTCTTCACTGTTAGATGGGCACCAGGCTTTATAGAATCATCTCTAGAAACAGCTCTCTTTGGTTCCACTACATGCTCATCAACCTTGTGTGGTTGAGCACACATTGCTGCATCCACCTCTTCAACACAAGCGTAAGTAACAAAACCAAAGCCCCTGGAACATTTTGTTTGGGGGTCTCTCATCACCACACAATCTGTAAGTGTGCCCCATTTCTCAAAATATTCTCTTAAGCTATCATCTGTAGTTTCAAAGCTCAGACCACCAATAAACAGTTTTCTCAACTGTTCTGGTTCCTTTGGATCATGGCCCTCCTCCCCCCGGTGGTGGCAGCGACAGCCGGAGTCAGGCTGGGGGCAGCCGGGTGGCGGTTTTACCTCCATTTTGAGACCAGACCTGCCTCTTCCAACTCCGAAAGTGCTAATTTCATTCTTTTACATGTAGCTGTCCAGTTTTCCCGGTACCACTTATAAGATACAATGTGTTTTGGATTCAAAGAATCAATATTGTCAAAATGACTATATTACTCAAGGTAATCTACAGATTCAACACAATCCCTATCAAATTACCAATGAACTAGAACAAAAAAAAGTTTTTTAATTTGTATGGGAACACAAAAGATCCCAAATAGCCAAAGCAACCTTGAGAAAGAAAAACAGAGCCAGAAGAATCAGCTCCCTGACTTCAGACTATACTACAAAGCTACAGTAATCAAAACACTATGGTACTGGCACAGAAACAGAAATATGGTTCAATGGAATAGAATAGAAAGCCCAGAAATAAACCCACACACCTATGGTCAATTAATCTACAATAAAGGAGGTCAAATTATATAATGGAGAACATTTCTTATTTTCTTTGCTTTCCTGAATATATATGTCTTGCTACCCCCTTGAAGTTAGGTATGACCATCTAACTTTCATGGCCTAATGAAATGTGAGTGGAAGGGACATTGCAACACTTTAGAGAAGTATTTAAAAGACAGTATGTGAATTTCTATGCTATTTTCATTTACTTGTGGAAAACTTACCTTGCTATGCAGGTGACATAATATGAAACATGCAGGAATACTGAGCCAACCCATAAAGGAAAGCTGTCCTAGAGAGTCTCTCCACCCTACAGTGACGTTTATGTAATAAAAATTTGTTATGTAAACCCCTGGGAACTAGATGCTGTTTATTTCAGCAGCATATGCTAGCCTATTCTGACTAATATACTCCTGAATAGTAACATCTCTTACTGAGTGCTCTCATGAGTAGCATGTTTATTTATTCATTCATATATGCCTCAGAATCTGGATCCCAGGTCTATCTTCTTCTCTCCTGTCCTCATAGGTCATTAATCATTTAAGGAGCATGACATTTGGTGATACAACCACTTGAGCTTCATCTTCTCTTACAGGGCCTACAATCAACCTGAATGCTTTTCATGTTCATTTGTATGATCAGTTCACCAACCTATCAAATCAGTTATTTCACTATCTCACTTCAGTGATCTCAACATCACTTCACCCCACATTTCATAAGCATACATGCATATTTTCATCACCTGACTCAGTTTCTCCTCTGACATAATGGATTCATTCATCTCACTTTCTGAAAACAGCCTCCTATCCTCCAAGTTGATTCATTTAATCATGCCCTGCTATACCAACCTCATCAGGATGCCGAGGATACAGACCTTCTTATTTTAATCTATTTTTATCCTAATTACTATTGATCCCATTGTTTTGATCCTTAGTAATCCTAATCCTAATGATTTTGCCCCTTTGGTCATTATTCTCAGTCCTTTCTTCATTTTCCTATCCTTTCCTACACCAAACAAAACCTTACTTTGAATAATCAGAAATGTCTGCCTTCTCTGTCTCTTTACCTTATAAGTACCTACAACTAGTTAGACTGATCCAACTATAAATTTGTGCTCACCAAGACCAACTGGATCCTCCTATACTCCCTGGAAATACTAAGAGTTCTTCTCAATTCTCTCTCTCATTTTCACAAAAGTCCCCCTCTGTCCCGAAATCTCAACTTGAGTCATTCATGGTTTTTCATCATAAAAATGATAAGAGGGGAACCCCTTTGAATTCCCAACCTTAAGACCTACAAAGCTACATGCATTAATAATCATCCTTTTTGGGGAGGACATTCAAGATGGCAGAGGAGTAAGACATGGAGATCACCTTTCTCCCCACAAATACATCAAAAATACATCTGCATGTGGAACAACTCCTATAGAACACCTACTGAACGCTGGAAGAAGATCTCAGACTTCCCAAAAGGCAAGAAACTCCCCATGTACCTGGGTAGGGCAAAAGAAGAAACAAAGACAAAAGAATAGGGACGGGACCTGCACCACTGGGAGAGAGCTGTGAAGGAGGAAATGTTTCCACACACTAGGAAGCCCCTTCACTGGTGGACATGGGGGGTGGGGAGGGGGAAGCATCGAAGCCACGAAGGAGAGCGCAGCAGCAGGGGTGCAGAGGGCAAAGTGGAGAGATTCCTGCACAGAGGATTGGTGCCGACCAGCACTCACCAGCCTGAGAGGCTTGTCTGCGCACCCGCCGAGGCAGGTGGGGGATGGGAGCTGAGGCTCGGGCTTCGGAGCTCAGATCCCAGGGAGAGGATTGGGGTTGGCTGCATGAATACAGCCTGAAGGGGGCAAGTGTGCCACAGCTAGCCAGGAGGGAGTCCAGGAAAAAGTCTGGAACTGCCAAAGAGGCAAGAGATCATTGTTTCGGGGTGCACAAGGAGAGGGGATTCAGAGCACGGCCTAAACAAGCTCCAGAAACGGGTGTGAGCCACAGCTATCAGCGCGGACACCAGAGACAGGCATGAAACATTAAGGCTGCTGCTGCAGCCACCAAGAAGCATGTGTGCAAGCACAGGTCACTATCCACACCTCCCCTCCTGGGAGCCTGTGCAGCCTGCCACTGCCAGGGTCCCGTGATCCAGGGGCAACTTCCCCAGGAGAACACAGGGCACGCCTCAGATTGTTGCAACATCACGCTGCCCTCTACCACTGCATGCTTGCCCCCATACCATACCCTTCCCTCCCCCTGGCCTGAGGGAGCCAGAGCACCCTAATCAGCGGCTACTTTAACCCCATCCTGTCTGGGCGAAGAACAGATGCCCTCAGATGACCTACACGCAGAGGCGGGGCAAAATCCAAAGCTGAACCCCAGGAGCTGTGCGAACAAGGAAGAGAAAGGGAAATCTCTCCCAGCAGCCTCAGGAGCAGCGGATTTAATCTCCATAATCAACTTGATGTACCCTGCATCTGTGGAATACCTGAATAGAGAACGAATCATCCCAAAATTGAGGCAGTGGACCTTGGGAGCAACTGTAGACATGGGATATGCTTTCTGGTTTTATGTTTATCTTACTTTAGCATTTAGAGCTTATTATCATGCATAGATTGGTTTATTGATTTAGTTGTTCTCTTCCTTTTATATATATATATATATATATATTTTGTTCCTTTTTCTCATTTTCTGAGTGTGTATGTGTATGCTTCTTTGTGTGATTTTGTCTGTATAGCTTTGCTTTTACCATTTGTCCTAGGGTTCTGTCTGTCCTTTTGTTTTTTTGTATAGTTTTTACCACTTGTTATCATTGGTAGATTTGTTTATTGCTTTGGTTGCTCTCTTCTTTCTTTTTTTTAAATTAATTTTTAATTTTTAAAGTTTTTATTTTAATAACTTTATTTACATTATTTTATTTTATTTTTCTTTCTTTTTTTTTTCTCACTTTTCTTCCTAGCTGTGTGGCTTACAGTGTTTTGCTGCTCCAGCCCGGTGTCAGGCCTGAGCCTCTTAGGTGGGAGAGCCGAATTCAGGACATTGGACAACCAGAGACCTCCCAGCTCCATGTAACATCAAACAGCAAAAGCTCTCCCAGAGATCTCCATCTCAACGTTAAGACCCAGCTCCACTCAACGACCAACAAACTACAGTGCTGGACACCCCATACCAAACAACTAGCAAGACAAGAACACAATCCCACCCATTAACAGAGAGGCTGCCTAAAATCATAATAAGTTCACAGACACCCCAAAATACAACACCAGACACGGTCCTGCCCACCAGAAAGAAAAGATCCAGCCTCATCCACCAGAACACAGGCACTAGTCCCCTCCACCAGGAAGCATACACAAGCCACTGAACCAACCTAACCCACTGGGGGCAGACTCCAAAAACAACAGGAACTATGAACCCGCAGCCTGCGAAAAGGAGACCCCGAACAGACTAAGTTAAGCAAAATGAGAAGACAGAGAAACACACAGCAGATGAAGGAGCAAGGTAAAAACACACCAGACCAAACAATTGAAGAAGAAATGAGCAGTCTACCTGAAAAAGAATTCAGAGTAATCCCAATGAATATGATCCAAAATATTGGAAATAGAATGGAGAAAATACAAGAAACGTTTAACAAGGACCTAAAAGAACTAAAGAGCAAACAAACAATGATAACACAATAACTGTAATTAAAAATTCTCTAGAAGGAATCAATAGCAGAATAACTGAGGCAGAAGAATGGATAAGTGACCTGGAAAATAAAATAGTGGAAATAAATGCCCCAGAACAGTACAAAGAAAAAAGAATCAAAAGACTTGAGGACAGTCTCAGAGACCTCGGGGACAACATTAAATGCACAAACATTAGAATTATAGGGTTATAGGGGTCCCAGAGAAGAAGAGAAAAAGAAAGGAACTGAGAAAATATTTGAAGAGATTATAGTTGAAAACTTCCCTAATATGGGAAAGGAAATAGTTAATCAAGTCCAGGAAGTGCAGAGAGTCCCATAAAGGATAAATCCAAGGAGAAACACACCAAGACACAAACTAATCAAACTATCAAAAATTAAATACAAAGAAAAAATATTAAAAGCAGCAAGGGAAAAACAACAAATAACTTACAAGGGAATCCCCATAAGGTTAACAGCTGATTTCTCCACAGAAATTCGGCAAGCCAGAAGGGAATGGCAGGACATATTTAAAGTGATGAAAAGGAAAACACTTCAACCAAGATTACTCTACCTGGGAAGGATCTCATTCAGATTCAACAGAGAAATTAAAATCTTTACAGACAAGCAAGACGTAAGAGAATTCAGCACCACCAAACCACCTTTACAACAAATGCTAGAGAAACTTCTCTAGGCAGGAAACACAGGAGAAGGAAAAGACCTACAAAAACAAACACAAAAGAATTAAGAAAATGGAAATAGGAACATACGTATCAAAAATTACCTTAAATGTAAATGGATTAAATGCTCTGACAAAAAAAATAGACTGGCTGAATGCATACAAAAACAAGACCCATATATATGCTGTCTACAAGAGACCCACTTCAGACCTAGGGACACATACAGACTGAAAGTGAGGGGAT